AAAAGCGACGTCGTTAACCGAACGGGCGATTAGTAATCAGTTCTTGTCACCATCTGTTGAACTTCGACAATTTACAAATGGTTTCATTGATGAACATTCATTTCTGAATGAAATTCAAGAGTTTAAATACGAAGCAATGGAAGAATTCATTCAACAAAATGTTACTTTGCAATTTACTCATCTTAACAAACGACCTCGACCATCATCGATTCAGACGTTGAACATATTTCTTGATCGCATAAAAAACCAATTAAAAACCAAACCCAATTTTATTGGTTATGAAGTTAAGCATTGGAAACTAATTCCTGATCTATTAAAGCAAATTTTAATTTATCACTCATGTTTTCTGTTACAATTACCATTGTTTGATGAATCAATAAAACTTTTAAACATGATCGAGACGCATACAGTGACAGCGATTGCGACCCCAACAGGATCTGGCAAATCGACATTGTTACCAGCTTTACTCGTTGCCGAAGGCTACGATAGGATACTGGTAACTCAACCTCGTCGATATCCGTGCACAGCTGTTTCAAATCGAGTCAATGAAACGATCCGAACTGATATAGATGGTACATCGGAACAACTGGCCGGATGGGCTATTAGTGGAGATGGTGATCGTCCTGATGCTCCGATTGTTTATGTTACGGATGGCCTTCTACGAGAAAGTCTTCTGAATAACCCAAATTTCATACCTCTTTATACTGAAATGAAAAAGGCGATGGTCTTTTTTATTGATGAAGTTCATGAACGGTCGATTAATATTGATTTATGTTTAGCTCTCTTAGCTCGGTTGTTAACAGTTCGACCGGAACTAAAAACAACGATCAAATTGATTATTTCTTCTGCAACACTAAATTCATCTGTACCAAGATTATTTCAACAGTTCGGTTTACGAGAATTTCGACTACCACAAATTGGTCTATTACATGACGTGAAAAGAATCTCTAGACCGAGGGAAAATATTTTAGATATTGTTCAAGAATTATTCAAAAAGCGCCGACGACATGATCAAATTTTATGTTTTGTTAATTCAACCACTGAAGTTCATCAATGTTGCCGTTTATTAGAACAATTAACTCAAGGCACCATCAAAGGATATCCATTAATTCAATCTCAATCGGCTGCAGAACAGCAAGCATATATCGAGCATGGTAGTGTCTTCTTTTCTACAACGGTAGCTGAAACTTCGTTGACTTTTCCATCGTTAAAATATGTTGTTGACACCGGAATGATTAACATACCAATCTATGATCCGAAGACGAAGCGAACTGTTTTGAAACAGGTTCAAGCTGCTGAATCAACGATCAAACAACGACTCGGACGGCTGGGACGAACTCAAAATGGGGAGTATTATGCTCTGTATGACTTTCAAGTGGAAGACCAACCTTTTCCAATTCCACAAATTTGCCAATTAGATTTAACAAATATCGATTTTATTCTCAGACGGTCGACAATCGGACACGGCTTGCACTACATGCAGCAGTTTTTGCCTGATAAACCAGATACCAACGCTCTCGGCACCATTGTAGAAGAACTCGTTCGACTCAGTTAGTATAAGAATTATTTTCTCGATAAGTGTACTGTTCTCTATTATAGATGTGTTAGAAAGGACATCGACAGGCGAACGATTCACTCCGCATGGTCGAGCCCTGGCTCAATTACCTGATTTCAATTCCATAGCGATGTCCAAATCGGTTTTGGCAGCTCTCACACAATACGATTGTGGTCGTGATTTGATTTGTCTTTCGTCGATTTTAGGTTGCTTGAATACAGCATCAATATTGAAAGATATTCCGCCAGCGATGAAAAGTTCCGATGGTGACTTTATGACTCTATTAAATGTTATGAATGAAATTCTCTTGGTGAAGCAATCGAGTACGGGGCAAAAGATCGATTTGGATTTAATTTGTCAACAAAAGCAGTTGGACAAAATTCGACATATTCTCAAGCAAGCTCTGAGAAGATATGAGAGTTTAGAAAAACTCTTTAACAAGTCGCAACAATTTCGTCAACAGTCACAGATCCGATCAGAAAATTGGAGATCGATCGCTAAAGCTTTGCTAGAAGGCTATGGAGACAATGTTTTTGTTTCAATGAAAGAAATTCAAGAAAGAACGCATCAATTTGGTCGATATCGAGACACGAATGACATCGCTATACTTGATTTACAATCGACGTTGACCCGACCGATTAGTCACGCGCCTGTACGTTTAGTTTTATCACGAGATGTGCTATATACTTCAGCGGCTCGTTCAACGTCGATTATTTCTTTTGTGGGTGAACTTAAACCATCGTGGATTGAACATCAATTAGAACGGCATTTTCTTTTGACGACGGACGAAAAAAATCACTTAGAAAATGGAAATGCTCTTGCAAAAATTCGGTCGGTTGTTGCAACGCTTGTTAATTGGATACAAAACAAATCTGCGTATGTTTTAAAAAACCGAGCTGGAATTGTTTTTAACGACGAAGTTCAATTACGTTCAGAGTTAATCACTACTAGAACCTTTCAATTAGAAAATCGCTGTAGACAAGGAACTACTGAATATGAGAATTTGGCACGAAACCTTCAAAGTGTGACGAAAATAATTTACATTTTTCAACCGATACAATGGAGATGGGAAGCTGAGAAACAAATGAAAATCACCGTCGATAATAATCCCGCGGCAAAAACGTGCGACATCACAGTGGAAGGACGACTTTCTGAACAGGAGAATGTGAAAAAAGAATTCGATCGGTTCGGAGATTGGTTGAAACGATGTGTAGTTATTCGACATCCGAATTCCGGTAAGATCCTAAACTTCTCAATTCTTCTTTATTCGAACATTGTTTATCTTAGGTGTTCTTCCACGTCTACTTCAACCAAAAGTACGCAGTAAATATCCTCACATTGAGAAAAATATCGCCTGCATTGCGGATCCGAATCGAACACTTGTTGAGCTTTATAAAGCAGTCAAAGGGAAAAAGGCTACACGTGAATCACGTATGGAAGTTGTAGCATGGATCGCCGTCTGTCAATTTCATTGTAAGTTAGAAGGTGGTTTTGTTCGCGATTGGATCGTTGGAAATGAAGCATTTGTACCAATAAATTTACAGAATGATCCAAAGGCATGGATTGAATACCGACCTGGTGAAGAAGGACAAGATATTCCTGGTATTAGAAAAGAGATTGTCCCATCTGATTTAGATTGTCACTTACCTTTAAACAAATACTTTGATATGGAGAAATTTCAAGATCGTCTACACAAGTTTGATATTATTTGCAAAGTATTTCGGCAGAAGTGGAGGTATATTGTATTAATCGACGAAGACGTTCCAACTGGACCATTTACAATGGATCTTATTGAGCCTCATGTAGCATTAACTCAAGATCGTATTGATCTTGACGTTAGCAATCTTTCAGTAGAGAGAAATTATCCACGCGAACTCGGAATGCGTATTAATGTCACTCAATCACCGTATTCAATTGATTTAGAGTCAATCGTCGAAAATGTTATGGAAAGGCGCTTTCGAGTTCTTCGCCCAATCGATCGAATTGTTAAAGATCGCATCGAGAAAATGGTTCAACGCGGTTGGAAACAGTACGGTGACCCGATTAATGTGAATCCATCGCCACCACCGCATTGCTATTCAGTTCTCATACCACTTCCAGGCACATCACCATTGTATCAATCATTAGAAAATGAAATGAAGAAGATCAGTCTACTTGTTCGAATTATATCGATTGAAGAAGTTAAAAATCCACTTCTTGAAGATACATACGAAGCGATTAAAAAAATGATTGCGAAGGAATGCCAAGGAGCAAACCCGAACGAACAGAAACTGTTTCATGGAACGAAAGTCAATGGAATGAGAGGTATTTTAGAGAACGGTTTTGATGATCGATTTTTTAGTTCGGCAGGAGCGTGGGGTAAGTGTATAAAATACAGCAACGAAGGTAATGCGTTTGTTTTGTTTAGGTGCTGGGGCTTATTTTGCAGATGATCCTCGGAAATCGCATAATTATACTAAGCCCGAAGGCAGCGATCAGACTCGTGTGATGTTTTATAACAAAGTTGCATTAGGCAAAGAATCAATAGAGGCAAAAACGAAAAATGACTTGGCTGCAGCACCAAAAGGTTGTCATTCGGTACGAGGAACCGAATTTAAATATACGGAATATATCGTTTATCGTTTCGGTCAAGCATTGCCATACCTGAGAATTATTTACAAAGCTTAATTTGATCCTTAAAACAATAATTTCAATTCCTTTGCGATACTTTGATATTTCATACATTCAGGAATGTTCTTTTTGTTTTAAATACGAAATCATTAAACTAAAGAACCATCTTGGTGAATTAATGTGATATCGATATTATTTTCGTATACGATGAATTGATTAAGTCGATTGGAAAGATGCGTCTACCTTTTTGCACGAATAGGTAAAATTTGTTTAAAAAAAGATAACAATATTTCATCGACTCCGACATTATAAAAAGAGAACGTTTCTTGTGCTACACAGTTGATTTACTAACAACAGTTAGAAGAAAGAGCAAGATGCGCAACTGTCAAATATACAGTAAGTCGCGACAACAAAAGCAACAATTACATATCTATCGTATTTTTGTCTGAACAGCTTTTGCGTTTGCATTGACGTTGATGCTAATGATCGATTTAGCTAATTGTGTTCCAGTAAACTTGGATAACATAGATGCTGTGCCTTCCAGTGAGTTGTGTTCGCGCGCGCGAAAGTAGAAAAGTATTTTAACTAGTATTTTTCAGAATGGTCTAACATAAAGAGCATGAATCGAGTACGTATATACCACACTGCATCTTTATTGAAAGATGGAAAGCTGTTGGTTGCTGGTGGATCTGACTACTATGCAGAGTACGTATTATTTTACTGAGAGCTTGAATGATTGAAGGAAAAATCGGACATTGATGTGTTCTATATTTGCATTTTAAACAGTGCGGAAGTGTATGATCCAGTGACCGGAAATTGGACACTGACCGAGAGTATGAGTGCCTCACGATGTTGGCACACAGAGACTGTTTTGGAGAATGGAAAAGTGCTGATTACTGGTGGACAGGATGAGACCGTAAACTATTTAAATACTGCTGAATTGTTTGATCCATCAGAAAGAAAATGGAAGAGAATTCCCAACATGCGGTATAAACGCATCTGGCATACAGCAACTCTTCTAAAAAATGGTAAAGTATTAATTGTTGGCGGTGATAATGATTCTACTAGTACTACTAATGGCTGCGAAATATACGATCCGGTGAAAAATAGTTGGTCAGTGACTGGCAGCATGAATCATACACGCAGCCAGCATACTGCAGTATTATTAAACAACGGGAAAGTATTAGTTATTGGTGGATCTCCTGTTACTGATAATTTCAATAATTGTGAGTTGTATGACCCCCTGACAGAAAAATGGACATTGAGTGCTAGCATGAATTATCCTCGCATATATCAGGCTTCAGTTGTATTGAAAAATGGAAAGGTTTTGGTTGCCGGTGGATGGCATCCTGGCTATAGTGACCATAAAACTACTGAATTGTATGATCCATCAACCAAAATTTGGACACTGACTGGAAACATGACACAGGAACGAGACGAATCTACTATATCCCTGCTAGAAGATGGCAAAGTACTTGTTGCGGGCGCAGACAAGGGCTCGATTCATAGTTCAAGTAGTGCTGAAGTGTACGATCCATTGACAGGTAATTGGACAGCTGTTGACGACATGAATTATTCCCGAGCAGGCCATACGCAAAATACGCTTAAGAACGGCAAAGTACTAGTTACCGGCGGATATGGTAATGGTTATGACTTCTACAGTAGTGCGGAAGTGTATACACCACAGAAAACACATTAACGTAAAGTTCTCTTGTTAATCAAAAGCTTTATTCAAATAAACTCTAATTCATTGTAGCAGTTTTATGTACAAAATCTATTGGAAATGTTATTCTATTATTTATTTTCGTAATTTGAACCTAGTCTTTATTAGAATAGAAAACACAGGAAAATCTATCAATAGTAACTACATCAGAATATTTCATCTAAGTTTTAATATGATATTATCAACACAGCAATCAAATAAATGCGCATTCGAAGTATTCCTCTCGTATATCTTCTATTTTATATCTTCTTCACAGGTGGGACTGTCCACGTTGAATTTTGTATCTGCGGCCAATACATTCGGAGCATCAGAACAAAATTGCCTTGAGGACTTGGCAACCAATTAGCTTGTTTGCTTTCTTCAGGAGCCACATGCTGAAAATAAAGATCAAGTGATCCATCTTTGGTATTGTAAATCAATGGATCTCGAGGACTCAATGTGAATTTGTTTAATGCATTGGGTGTAAAGAAATATTCAGGGTCGTACATAGTAATGGACCAAAATGCTTTGATAGGCGGTGTTTGATCTTTTGGAAAACGAAGCGTATAGTTGTATCTTCCTGACAACTTCTTTCCATTTGAATCGACATTAGTATATAGATAGATAGCATCGTCGGGCAGATTACCTGGCCATCCATAAGCAGCAATGAATGCGCGGAGAAGATAATTAGTACCATAGTGGTTAGGAATTTTTGGAAATATCCAACCGTTTCGATTTTTGCCAGATTTACTTTCCAAAGATATGATTTTGTGAAAAGCAAGTTTAGGAACTGGCTTGATGGCATTTTGAAGTTTACGACTGAGATTGTTCCAATTGAATGTTTTACCAGGAACAATGCCGAGCTGAGCCATTTTTTTCACGATACCTGCATCTTCTTTTGCAGGTGGATTATCCTACAAAGACGATAAAAATTGCATAGAATAATGCTGAAGGAACTATGAAATCTTGGTGTGAAATTTCTCGTAGTAGCAGTAGTTATCTACATTCCAGTTCTAATAGCTCCATCTTGATGATACTCGCAGCTGACAATGGTATATTAGTCCAGTTGCATCACTCACCTTCATCAACATAGCCAACATGTTAAAGTACGTAGTAATATTCATATTATTAATGACATCACGCACTTTATCTGTCATGCTAAAACCATAATTAGGATTAACCTTTGGTACTGGTGGATTATACTCTTGTGGAGTTTGATATTTATTGCTGCTGAAGACACTAAGTGGGCGCAAGAAGTATTGATCTTGAAGTCGATGTACAGTAACATAATCTTCCGGCTTGCCCAGACAATATGTGCGTCCAAGAATAAACAGATACCGACTCGGAGAACGTATATGCTTAGTAATTCGTTGCTTAAGTTGTGATGATAATGTTCCGTTCCATTTCGGACCAGTCAACAAGTATGTAGCAGCACCTGTACCAGTAGTGCGTGTTCCTGGCGATTCGATTACGGACATCCAATGTTCGTACATAGGAAAAAGATAGTATCGCTTTCCCATATCCGGATGCGAGAAAACCCAAGGTTCATCGTCAAGGTCAAGCCACGCTGTTGAGTAGAGAGTATCTGCATTTGGTGTGGTAATACCACGAAAACTTGCGGATGGATAATGACGCATATTAATAAACTGGCCCATAGGTGCTTTGTAAGTTTGCCGTTCGTTTACATTAGTCATCTGTACGCGAGTTATTTCACTAGTTATTATTGAATAACCGTAGATATAAGCTTCTATTGCTACATTTCGCGCTTGTTTTGGAATAAGAATCACTTTCTTACTTTTCCCTGCGTCAACATTGACGACGATCACCAGAAAGATAAGACTAACTGTGCGCAAATACATTGTACAAATAAACGTTATTTTTCTATTCCTTATATATCTGACATGGAGCAACAATGCACAAAGAAATGGTAACAATAGTTCATTGTCTGTGCAGTCGATTATCCATTCCGATTATATTTAGTATTAATACCAACAGATATGAAAAAACGTGTCGGAAAATCAGTCGTTTCGGTTTTCCCGAAAAAAAAACAGTGGAACAGAGGGCGCTATGTTTGCGAGTGAGAGTGACGCTAAAGAAGCGAGTATATTACACATCATTTTGCCTATATGAGAATGAATGTTGTTATTTCTAAGTCACTCATATTGCTGAAACCGCTTACGAAAGAGCTTTTCCTGTCGAAATATAAATTGAATTGGATTTTATTAATTATATCTCCAACTAGAAGTCACGCCTTTTACTTTTATCGCTAGTATACTGTTACGGCATATTTCACGGTGTGTGATATGGAATTTTCCAACATGTTTTCTTTCGTTCTGCTTGCATATATACACATGCTTTGTTTGTTGTGTTGACCTCGATTTGCATTCCGTTGGTCTTTTCCTATGAGTCATGTATATATAGACCACATTTTTCGGCTAGTGTACCAATTGTCAAATCCGATTTTAGAGTATAAGCATAGTTTATTGTTAATAACTAAGACACACACACCAACTAGGAAATGTGGTCTGTATATACGTGACTCATAGGAAAAGACCAACGGAATGCAAATCGAGGTCAACAGAACAAACAAAGCATATATATATATGCAAGCAGAACGAAAGAAAACATGTTGGAAAATTCCATATCACACACGGTTGAATAAGCCATAACATAATACATGATTTCTGATGAGAGATATGAACACCGTATATGCAATTTGTTTTACTCTACACTGATATTAAACTCAGTTTACCATTGCTACGATGTCTCCTTTGGAAAAGTATCTTTTGATCTTGAATCTCTTTGCATCGCCACCCAATAGTGACGAACAAGAAATTGGTCAGCAACGACGGTGAAATGTCATTCTAACTCGAGTTTATATTCTCTTGCTCATCTTGAGGGTGTGGGTGAGTGATAAGTTCCTCAATCCACATCCATACCCACCCTTTTACAAGATCACGGTGACGTTTTAGCGATTAACAATCGACGAGTATTGATGATCTTCTTATATTTTAACTTCTTTCTCGATTCATTTCTTGGTTTGATATCTTCGATCATGCGAATCATCTTAAGTGTAATTGCAGGTTTCTTTTACATGTGTCGTTTGGATTATTCACCATTGGGAAGAAAACTTGAAATATTAGATTCAGGATTTGCTGCTTATTGTGGTTTTATTCATATCGAAGCAACACATCGAAATCCGATCATGTTGACAATGGCCAGTTATTTGTATGGAGAAATGAAAAGAAAACAACACTTAACAGATAATTCAATGATGGTGACTTCGATTGAAAGAAAACGTGAAAAGAATTCATCAAACGCAGTTCGTCGATGGCATTTAGCAGTTCTTTTATTACGAAATCCATCCTTGGTATTGTTGAGAAAAAGTGCTCTTGCTGCAAAAGAAGATA